TGTTGTCGCGCTGCTGATGACGTCAGCGACACGCTTTAATCGGGCGCGCTTTAGTGGACCGCGGTTTTGTCGTGCCACGGGACTAGATGACCTCCAGATACCTTCCAGCCCTGTATTGCTGTGCTCTGAAGCTGCATATAGTGCCAAGTTTGTGGTCCTTTCTCCCTCTCATTTTTCCCTCCCTCCCTCCCCCTCCCTCCCTCCCTCTCTCTTTCTTTCGCAGCACTCTCCCACCACTTTTTAAAGCATTTCTCCCCTGCCTATTCACCCGAAGCTGCCCAGAGTGAGATGGGCAACAAACAAATTAAATAAATAAATATGCAAAAAGGATCCTTGCCAAGATCATTCGTCCTTTTCATGGAATTTCTCTCACAGCAGTAAGCACCATGAACTATGCATTTAATGAAAATGGTAGAGCTATGCACATTTCAAGAGGAAGAACAGTTTCATACAACTCATGCAAGTCCAACCCTTCTTGAATATTAATTAAGACAGCTTTCTGCCAGGGCCTGAAAAAAAAGGTGCCATGACTTAAGAGTCATATTAACTACAAAACCGCACCTAACAGCAGTAATATATTCTTTCAGCTCTGGAGTGTTTCTTCCGCATCATTTTTTAAGCACACACAAGCCTAGTAGATCATCATATGTTACCCAAAAGTCGTTTTAACAATTGGGCCAAAGCAAATGAAAGGTATTGACTAGGATATTTTTATGAGAAGCAGAAGAAATTGTCATATCTTTTTAAAGTGATATCTCTTTAAAGCATTTTCTTGGTAGCATGGACTACCATTGAATTGAGGGAAAAAATAGATTCAAGTCTGCCAGTAGGCTACACATCTCTTCAGTAATTTGCTGCAGATTTGACTTGCAAATGAGACAATCAGAAAAACAAACTTGTGAAGATGCACTCACCTTCACTCCAACAATGAAGGTGATTTTTTAGGCACTAAAAACCTCAGAATACTTCAAATTATTGGGTTCGAATCAACAAATGCATTGTGAATCTCTTGTGATAATGCAAGTACAGGATATGACTGCTACATGAAACACATATTGACAAATGTTTCTTTTGGTAATACAAAGGCCTATGTTTTATTAGGCTTCGTATGAAAGCCCCAACCTATTGGCGCTTCTTTTGGGGAAAAAAACATTTTTCTCCAAAAGGAGCTATTGTTGGGCATAGCTTAATCTGAATACTGAGATGTGGTGATCACAGTTTTAGGACTATTGGGAGTTTCTTGGAGAAAGTGTTATATGATACCTCTTTTTTGAGTTACTTTATGGGCATCTCATTGGGAGGCAGTGAACTAGATATTATATACTGTAGTTCTAAGAAATCTGCTTATTCTGAGATGATAAAATTACTTGTACGTGGTTTGTAGGTTGAGATCAACTTTTGTTGATATGGCCCATATTCCCGTCCCTTTGCAAGCATCTCTGCAGGCAGCAAACAAACTAGAGTGAGGGGAGAGGGTGTCAATCATCCCTTAGCATTTCTTAGTTTTTCTACTGGCTTGAAGGTTTTCACCTCCTTCTCTCACATCTCTCCTCCCCCTTGCCAACCAGCAAACTGTCACTGAAATTAGAAATCATTGTGGACAATCATTCCTCTGCAATCTCTCCACTTAGATCAGAGGTCTTCAAACTCGGCCTCTTTAAGACTTGTGGACTTTAACTCCCAGAATTCTCTGGGATTAAAAAAGTAAATTATGCTGGCTGAAGAATTCTGGGAGTTGAAGTCCACAAGTCTTCAAGTGGCCAAGTTTGAAGACCTCTGCAAGAGAAAACAGCCCGCCTGAGCCCAACTCTCCGCCTCCAAAATAAAGGTGGCAGCGGACCACGGAGGAAGTGACCGATGACCGAGGTCAGGTAAGCACCGAAATTGCCGACGGGCGACGCCAACTCCCGCACAACAGCAGCCGCAGCGGCCCCGTTGCACAGCGAGGTAAAGAGAGTGGGGCGTGGCTTCACTCCTGCTCTCGCGAGATGTCGCTGCCGGCCTCCCCGTAGTCATAGCAGCGACTTGAGGAGAGGGGAGGCCCTCCGTACGGCGGCGCCGTCCTCCTGAGCGGTTCCTCGGGCAACGACGGTGAGTCAGGGTCGGCGGGCGGCGACTCCGGCGCGGGGTTAAAAGCATCGCCAAAGGGAGCTTGATACGCCTCCGCCTCCTCGGAGTGGCTCGTGAAGGGCTTTGGGGAGACGCGGGCGGGCTTCCCCTCAAGATGGAGGGTCTCCGCCTTCGTGCTGCAGCCCTGGTGTTCCTCCTCCCCGGATCCCCCTGCCGCCGCGGCTGACCGGGGGGGGGGGCATGCGCAACCTCCTTGGTCTGCAGGCCGACGCTGCCGTTTCAGCTCGGTGTCGCTGGCGAAAGCTCCCCACGGCACCCCCGCGGGGAGAAGAGGCGGGCACTTCCCGAGACGCCCTGGCGGGAGCGGGGTCCAGAAGAAGCCATAGTGGACGACGGTCACCTTGGCCTTTGAAGACCCATTCTGCTGCCTCTTGCATTTTTAAAAAAATGCTCCTGGAGCCGGTGGTGACGTTTTCCCCGTCCTAAATCTGTACGAACTCGTCTGTCAGGGCACAATAAAACGATGGCTTTTTAATGCCCCACATCTCTGCTGTTATGACGTTTTGTGCTGCTTGTTCCCACTTAAAAAAAAAACCGGAGATGTACTGTAATATGAAGATGCAGAGATCTTCAAACTTGGCAACTTTAAGACTAGTGGACTTCAACTCCCAGAAGTCTCCAGCCAGCTCTGAAGTGGATCTTATATATAAGGGGCCAACCTATTCGCATTTATTTGGGTTTCACTGATTTCTGCTATAATTACTTCTCCCTCAGTGTTCCCGTGGCGGGATTTTGCAAGGCTGTTAATATACGTTGAAATTATAGACTTCTTTTTAGCTATTAAGTGTTCATTCTAGTTCAATGCACTGCATTATATTTCTGAGGTTTTAGTCAGTTTTCAGAGCAGGATGCAAGGCTAGAAACTTACGAAAAAATCATATCAATATGTTGGACAGAATGCTATCATTGTTTGGTTTCGCACATCATACTAGTTGTAATTTGCTTTAAGCATTGTTTGTGGAAGAAATCATAAGGCCACCCCATCAAGAGATAGAATTTTCTCAATATGCTGAGATAAGTTAAATTGCATTATGCATTTGATTCATATTATAGATGAATTGATTTCATATATAGATTGAAGTGGTGGATAGCGTTGTTAAATTACTGTCTTGAAGTTATCCCTTATAGATATAGCATGACTCCTTTGCAAGAGATGAACTCCAAACAGTCAAGATAGAATCTAGTGAGTACATTCTAGAATACGTCACTACACATCTTATCCTTTTTTTCTGAAGTTTGAAGAAATTTTAGATCCTTAATTATCATTAGATATGATTTTGACATTGAAACTAACCTGTTTGCAGATATCCATGTAAAGAAGAAATGAAACTTTTTATCTCCCTTTTTTCAGTTTCTGAGTAGAGTATCTGAGTTAAGGCTAAGAGCAATTAGGGTTGCTGCAGATTATACCAAACAAGGAAGCCTCCAGTTGTGCTTGCTGAGCTATACTTCAAAAGCATCGCCATTTCGCATAACTTCTCTCTTTCAGCTTTTAGACAATTAAAAATATCAACACTTGTAGAAGGAATAAAGAGTGCAGAGTTGGGTGTGGCTGGACAGATCACCTACTAACAATGAGAGAATTCTTTATGTTCTTTTGGGTGCCGAGTGCCAGAGAAATAATCTTGCCACAGTTATCTATGCTTTGTTAACTTATGTACATTACATGTGAACTTGAATTTTAAAATTCATTCAAAAGAAAACCTCTATATTGCTTAACCAGTGGTATGAGACAGCAACAAGCTGCAGTATTTAAGAGTGATACCACCTCCAATTGTTCTGGAACAGTATACTTGTTCTTAGTCAAAAGACCTAGGAAACAATTCAAGATATAGAATTAAAGTTCTTTGGGACTTACAACTATAATATACATCAGTGGTCCCCAACCTTTGTGGACCACAAAGGCAGGAAGAGGAGAACCAGGCTGCCGGGCCAGCAGCACATACAGCTTAACCGATACAAGTGGCAGGCTGGTACACATGTGCATGCAGTGCAACTTGTTCAAGTTGAGCTAAGTGTGCCTGCATGGCAGCCCGCTACTCACATGACCCAGTGTAAATAGGCTGTGGCCCAGAGGTTGGGGATCCCTGCTGTACATCTAAACAATTATTTACATATCAGCCCATCTGTATACAAAGTTAATCTAAAAGAGTCAAATGAGTTTACTAGGTAATTGTAATTGTTAACTCTTATGCCCTGAAAAGTCGACTGAAGAGGGTGCAATGTATATATTTCTAATGTCTTTAATAGAGACTGCAGCGTAAAACATGACGTAAGGATTCCATGGCATTAGATTTGCAGAGGCTTAATTGCTACAGGGAAGCCCTTTGAATAGGCCTTCAAAGACAATAGCAAGCAGAGCATCTTAGTAAGACAAAGTGAAAAGTTGTCTAAACTGGGATATTGTTAAAAGTCTGAAATAATTAACTGGTTTCTTCTGGGGCAAAAGTAGACTTATACAGTTTTTGGTAGACATAATTACATTTAAACAGATCTGGTAAATTCTTCAGATGAGGCAAATATCGAGGCAAAAGACACAGATAAATGATTTTGAATCGATTTGAATAATGTGGGGAAAAGAAAGAAATGTCATGGCATTGGTCCAGGTTCTCTCTCTTCTTCAGAGTCTGCTAAATAACCAAAAATAGAAGAATATTTTATATGAAAGAAATCAGTTAGTTAAACAAATTTCCCTCTCACTTGTAACAAATTTCAGTCCCTGAATCACTTGAATGGACCTTCAAGCAAAACTGGAAAAATGACATCAGTTAGATTTTTCACTACAACAAAGTTACAGCAAAGCAATGCTTTCGTACAGTGCAAACTGTTATTTGAGCAGCTGTCACCTGTAAAATATGATCTGAAACTGAATGAAAGCCTCAGAGTTTTTTTCCAGCAAAGTATCAAGCTGGACCTAAGGCTTCCACTAAAAACCTATGCAGAAGCTTTGACTAAGCCACACATTCTGGACATGCACTCTGATAAAAGGCAAGTTGTTTTAAAGTAAAACAAAATTGTATGTGATGACTCCCCTAGATGCATCCCCAGATACCTCTCCAGATGTCAGTTTGGAGGAAGATGAACCAGTTGCAGGCATTCAGGATGGGAGTTGGTTGATGGCTCTGAGAGTGATTTGGCTGAAGCATAGCTGCAGCAGGACAGCCTGAGGCTTCAGATGGGGAAAGCACGCAGCTGGTTAGTGAGGAGGAGGAGGAGGAAGAACTGCCTTCTGCACCTGATTTGAGAATGCATAGTGCAAAGAAAAGGCAGCAGCTCTATTTAACTAATCTTTGCTTACTCTTAAATAAGATAGATAAACTGCTCGTTTTAAATATAAACAACTCAGACTTTTCCAACTCAGCAGCCCTGAGTGCTACCTTGAGTGCTAACAATGCTAACCTTCATTGAAACATGGCTGGGTAATTTGATTAACGACAGCTGCTTGCAACTCTCGGAATTTCAGATTCAAAGAGCAGATAAAATTGCAGAAATATCCAGTAAAAAAAGGGAGTAAATATCTGATTTTATATTAACAACTAATGATGTAAAAATGTCATTACGCTAAAGAAATTTTGTGATGTGGACTTACACACTATTCATTATTTGCACACCCTATTATGTCCCTGAAGAGTTTTTTTCATCCTAGTTGAAGTCTACACACCACTCCAAGCTTGCATAAGCAAGGCATTGCAAACTTTAACTGACCAAATCCTATGGGCTGAACAGAGATATCCAGACTCCCTACTCATTTTATTAGGAGATTTTAACAGTACTAACCTAAGCCAAGAGCTGCCAAGATACATTCAGCATGTCAACTGTCAAGAGATAAGACTATTTTAGACCACTGTTACTCTACAATAAAAGATGCCTGTCACTCTCTACCAAGAGCAGCTGTGGGACACTCTGATCACAGTTTCATTCACCTTGTATCTGTTTATAGACAGACTTAAAATCATAAAACCAGTAGTTAAAAAGGTGAAATCCAGACTGAAGAGGCAAAGTTAAAACTACAGCTTGCTTTGACTACACATACTGGAACATTTTTGAAACTGCCTCAGGGAACTTGGATGAACTCACTGACACTGTAACATTATACATTAGCTTTTGTGAGGACTTATGTGTGCCGATAAAACCTTATCCATCTACATTAATAATAAACCAGCGAAGCTCAAACATCTATGCCATGCCAAAGAGGAAGCTACAGGAAAGGAGATAGTATGCTGTACAAACAGGTCAGGGATGTATTAACGAGATCAGGGCACCAAAGAAAAAGCTGAGGACTCGCTCTCTACAAATGAACCAGCAAATGTGTAAAAAAGTCTGAAAATATCATAGACCTCCCTCCCTTGCTGAAGAGAATTTGCAATGGGCAGATAACCTGAATATGTTCTACTGAAGGTTTGAGAGGAGCCACTGGTAACTATCATTACCCTCTCCGTCTCAGATATACCAACAACAGCCAAGTCTTCTACAACTGACTCCATCCCTCTGGGCCCCCCATCTCTGGTGATCACAGAAAATGATGTACGTGCTCTATTTCCCAGACAAAAGGCTGGAAAAAAGCACCAGGCCGAGATAGGGTAACTTGCTCTTGCTTGAAAATTTGTGCTGATCAACTGGTCTCCATCTTCACACTCATTTTTAAAATATATCTGGATATGTGTTATGTTCCTTCTTGCTTCAAACACTCTGCTATCATCCAGGTACCCAAGAAACTTCCTCAAGGAATTGAATGACTACAGATGAAACTACAGACATCTGTAGTTATGAAAACCTTCAAAAGTTTAGACCCATTGCAATTTGCCTACCCTGCAAATAGATCAGCAGATGGTGCTGTCAATTTGGCACTGCACCACATCTTACAACATCTCGAATCCCCAAAGTCCTAAGTAATGGTCCTTTTTTTAGACTTCAGCTGTCAAGGGCTGGGGAAATCGGGAGATTCAGGCAGTTCAAATGAG